GAGACAGGGTCTCACTATGTAGTTGAGACTGACCTGGAACTCACTGTGTAGCCCGGGCTGATCTCGAACTCACAGCGATCCTCCTGCCTCAGCCTCCCAAGTGCTGGGATTACAGGTGTGCTGTTGGTGGTAACTTGTCACAGCAGTCACAAGACACTGCTGCACCCAGCTCTGGTGCCTGGTCCCTGCCAGTGAGCCACACCTTTGGCAACCGCTCTGTGGAGTTCCATTCGGCATTGAATCTGTGCTGTCTGGACTCACTGATGGCTGAGGTCAGAGGTCATGCTGTGTGGGCTTCGGAACCAACCTCAGAGGCCCAGCAGACACACTTCGCCCAGTGGGGAGGCCCAGCATGCTGTGTAGACAGCTCAGCTGCTCTGTGCGAGGAGCCTGGGGAGCGGCGGCCTCATTCAGCTTCCCACAAAACCTCCAGAGGAGGCCGGGTGTGGGGTGCACCCCTATAATCCCTGCACTCAGAAGGCAGAGGCAGGAGGATCAAGGGTTGGAGGCTGGTCTGCGCTACTCAGCAAGTTCAAGGCCCACTCGGACTATACAGCAAGATCCGGTTTCAAAACAAAACAAAAACCCCAACAAACAAGAGACAAAAGAAAACAACAAACAAACAAAACCCCCAGATAAATTCACCCCCCCAGACTGCAGCAGGGGAGTCCCAAGACAGACAGGCCAGAGAACAGGTCGGGTGAGGCCACCCTGCAGAAGGAAAGAGATAGTGGCAGGACTGTTTGAACCGACCACCTGGGGAACAGCCGAAGCGGCATCCAGTTTTAGCTACTGGGGATCCGGGGGACTGTGGAGGTGCCGGGGGCCATCATGTCACTGAGGTCACACACGGATGGGAGAGCCGAGGCCCCAGGAGGGCAGGAACTAGAGGAGCTGGTGATGGCTTCTGCTCCAGGCTCCCTCAGTCCCTCGGGAGTCCTGCTGGGCTGGGTCCAGCTTTCGCCTGGCCACCGTGGAACGCAGGTGCTTTCAGCTAACTCAGCCCCCTCCTGCCCGCAGCCCCTCTCACTCTGAGCTCCCTGGAAAGCAGGGTCGCTTACAGAAGACAAAAACCAAAGCTTGCACAGGCAGCAGGCCGTCCCTTGTTTTTGGTTTGTGGGGCTTTTGTTTTGAAACTGGATCTCGCTGTAAGGACCACCGCGATCCTTGGGGGCTGACTGGAGAGGGACCAGGACGGTGTCTCTGTGCCTTGTGGGGTCAGGACGGGATGCAGGCTGTTCCTCAGGCCTCCTGGGATGCCACCCTCACAGGCAGCTTGGAGAGACAGACGCCCCGAGGTGCTCTGGGCCTGGGACCCAGGGAAGCGGCTAGCAGACTTTGGTGCTGAGATGCCAGCCACAGGACAGAGCCCTGACCCCAGCCCCTCTCCGGGGTCCTTGCACCCTCTAGTGGCCGCGGGAAGGAAAGCGAGCTCAGCGCAGAGCGGGGAGCTGGTCCAGGAAGGAAGGCATCGCAGACATCCTGTCGTCCTCGTTCCTCACCAGAAGAGGCTCCGGCACACACCTCATTCCAAAAGACAATGGTGCCATATAAGCACATGAATCTAAATCAGGCGCAGAGGTTTAGTCCCAATGGTCAGGAGGCTGAGGCCGGACGATTGCTCAAGCCCGTAAGTCTGAGGTCGGCCCAGAAGTTTGAGGCCAGCCTGAACAACACAGCAGAACTATTTCAAAACAAAGTAAAACAAAACAAAAACAGGGAAGAAACCACAAGGGTCCAGGACTGCATCAAAGAGAAGTCTCCTAGGTGTATTAATTATAAAAGGAATCTTTTCTCATTTTCTTCCTTAAAACTATAGATACAAAAGTCACCTGTGCCAGGCCACCAATACCATAGCCCTGAATCCCAGCACTCGGGGAGGCTGAGGCAGGAGGACCGCAAGTTGGCACCTGGCCTGGGGCAATTTAGGAAGACCTTGTCTCAAAAAAAAAAAAAAAAAAAAA